TTATAAATGAAAAATGCAATATGTAATTCATATTCTAAAATTCTTAATCCAAAATAAATCTTAAATTTTATATGTTATAGCTAAATAACGTATCCTATTTATTATAAACCAAAATACTTTAAAAATATTAGACAAAATACATAAGTTCCCTTAAATTTGTCCGAAAATCTAAATTGCACGCTGTAACTAAACGGATACTTATATACCCCTTATTCTTGTTCGAAGTAAATTTATCACCCCCTTCCACGTATATAACCAGTTGCATGGCAAGAAGTATTTTGCACTCTCCCTATAATTTTGCCACGTCAGATATTATTTAATTTTATTTGTTTTCACTCTTTTTTCTTTTCTTTTTAATTCCCTTTCTCTTCTTTCTTTCACTATTATTTCTTTTCATATCCCTTCCCCAAGTCCCATCGGCCATCGCCGACGTAGCTGCCACCATTCAAACCAACCAAATTGATTCAAAAGTTTTAGTATCTAACTTGATGGAAACACAAGGTGGCTAAAAATGGCAGGTAAAACTCATTCGGTGGCGGCTAAATCGAAAATGGTGTTTAGCAAAGAATGGTGGCGGAAAATTACAGTAACCTCTGCCATAACAAAAAAGCAAAGAAAGAAAAATTAGGCGAAAGTACTGTTTTTCTATAATTACACAATCTCAAAAATGATAATCACCTTCATAATAGATGATAGCAAACGATGAAAAAATAAAAATAAATAATAGCAAACCCATAATACCAAGTTCAAAGTGTACAGAAAATTTCACCTTAAAGAGTAGAAATTCATGAAGAAGTATGCACTGCAGTCATCTCAATTAAAGAATGAGAAAATAATCAAATTGAATTCGCGACAGAAGAAAATTTACAAAAAAAAAAAAAAAAAACTGGAAGAAGAAGAGGAAATAGAACAAAAACAGCAAAAAAATTCCTTTTTCCGATGACGTTTGATTTTTCCGGCAAACACCTTGTTATGGCTTATCATAATTCCATTCCACGAAGTTTGATTTTTCCGGCAAACAAGCATTACTTTAACTTAGACTAAATTGATTTGAGTAGAAAAGATTAAATTTGGTATGGAGATTAAAAAAGGGTGTTTGTGATGAAGGAGAGAGAGGAGGACGTGAAGAAGAAGAAGGGGAGGGGAAATTATGTGTTATTTCCGGTCCAACGCGCCTACCTTTTTTATATAATTATTTTGTTTGCCACGTCAGCATATGGGGTGATATTAAATTTACTTCGAACAAGAATAGGGGTAAATAACTATCCATTTAATTACAGTGTGCAATTCAGTTTTTCGGATAAGTTTAGGATGGAACTTATGTATTTTGCCAAAATATTATTATTTATAGCCACTATTTATATTTTATAACAAAATATAAATATATACAATTGATCCCTCAACTTTTCCCTCAACTCTCTCTCTTCTCCCTTAATTCTCTCTCCCTTTTTCCTCTCTCTTCGCCAAGGCCGCCGTCTTCTCCGGCAACTTACCTCCATGGCCAGATTTGTTCAGATTTTCGGCGACTCTGCTTAAGATTTTCTTCTTCTCCAGCGACCTTGCTTCAGATTTTCAAAAGCTCAATCCGTAGCCATGGCCAAATCTGTTCTCCTACTCCCTCTTCGCTTCCACCATTGGGAGTCTGCCATCTCCACCGCGCATCTGACTCTTACCTCAACGGAGAGAATAGATCTGAAATTTTCCGACACAGATGAATTTATATCTAGCTTTAGTAGCTCGGTGAAGAGAATATATCTGAAACTTTTCGATATGGATCCATAGTTATTGAGTACTGTTAAGTAGTTAGTCATGTATAGTGTCCCACATCGAAAGTAGATACCTATTATTATGTATCATTGTATATAAATAGGGCGTTGTACAACACTTTAGATAATCAATAATATTTTCTCTCGTACTTTCTCACATGGTATCATAGCAGGACCCGTCTCGATTTTATGATGTTGCCCTCCTTCCCCTCCCATAATTGTCCACACTCCAGATGTCCAGTCCTCGGCGTTAAAGGGGGCATTGAGTCCCACATTGATAATGAAGGGGATGAGTGGTCTCCTTATATGGCCTTGGGTAATCCTCACTTCATAAGCTAGCTTTTGGGTTGAGTTAGGCCCAAGGTCCATTTTATCATGGTATCAGAGCGTTAGTGAGAAATTTATCGATAAGCATCATTCCAGCGACTTACGGAAAAAAAGACCTCGTCGTAGTGTAATTTTCTGGCGACTTAGGAGGTTGTCCGTAACAAAATTCTTTTTCCTAGGTGTTATGCAAAATCCAACACCACCACAAGGTCCCTAAAACAGAGGCGACCAAACCCCAGAAAAAATTCTCCGAAAAAGGCCCTTCTATGCGCTCTCATGCGCCAGTCATGGAAGAGTTTCCGGCTGCGCGTATGTCCCACGCGCCGGCACGTGTACCTATTTCCGGTCATTTTTTGGCCGACCTTCTTCAAGACAGCCTGATCGCGAGGCTTTTCCGAGCCTACCCATAAAGGTTACATCAGATCCTGACGATTTTTTAATTTTTCGGTGAGCTACAGTGTTTTTCGATGAATAGTAACAGTGGAAGTGAACAATAGTTTCTCTTACACTTTGGGAGTTAGCTAGGCCTCACGGAGGTTGTTAGAATTTTGGTCGTAACAAAATGAGAACCGATACTTTGAATGGTTGGATGGTTTCTTTAGCGGATTATATTGAGTTCCTTCAATACAAAGTATATAAGCAGACATCTTCTGAGATAGCTTTTGTTGTTCAAACAGGTAATAGCGTGACTTGTGTCTCCCATTCTTCATCCTCTAAGTCTTTGGTCATTGATTCAGGTGCATCGGATCATATTTTTAGTAACAAATCTCTTTTTACTACAGTTTCGTATTCTAAATCTCTTTCAACAGTCACAATAGCCAATGAGTCTCAAACCATGGCAACTGCAATAGGTCAAGCAAGCTCACTTCCTTCCTTAGCTTTAGATTTAGTTCTTTATGTTCCTAGAGTCTTTTTAATCTCATAGTCGTTAGTCGCTTAGCCAATTCACTTAAATGCACTATTTTTATTTATTGATGACCTTGTATTTATACAAGAACGTAGTACGGGGCGGATTATTAGTACCGGGAGTGAATCAAATGGACGTTATTACCTTATCATTGTTAAATCACACGGACTCACATCTTATTTTCCTTCAACAATTTGTCAGGTTACTGATTCACCATATTTATTACATAAACAGTTGGGACATCCCAGTTTGTCAAAACTTCAGAAAATGGTACATGATTTATCTCACTTGTCCACTCTAGAGTGTGAGTCATGTCAGCTAGGTAAGCATACCCCGCTCCCATTTCCCTCGGCGTCTTGATAATCGAGCAGAGTCACATTTTACTTTAGTCCATTCATATGTTTGGGGTCCTAGTCGGGTCAATTCTACCTTGAGATTTCGCTACTTTATCAATTTCATTGATGATTATTCCAGGTGCACTTGGATATTTTTGATAAAAAATCAATCTGAGTTGTTTTCTATTTTTCATACCTTCCACGCTGAAATTCAAAATCAATTTGGGGTTTCTATCCGCACATTTCGTAGTGATAACGTCCTGAAGTATTTATCTTCCTCATTTCAACAGTTTATGAACTCTCATGAGATTATTCATCAAACATCTTGTCCGTACACATCTCAACAAAATGAGGTAACTGAAAGAAAGAATAGACATCTTGTTAAAACTGCTCATTCTCTGCTCATACAATCTCATATTCCGTTGCATTTTGGGGGGGATGCAATTCTTACATCTTGCTATATTATTAATCGTATGCCATCTTCCGCTATCCAGAATCGAATTCCATTATCTGCTATGTTTTCCCACTTACCTTTGTTCTCTCTTTCACCCCGTGTTTTTGGAAGCACGTGTTTTGTTTATAACCTTACTCTAAGAAAAGATAAGTTAGCTCCTCGTGCTCTTAAATGCGTATTTCTGGGTTACTCGAGAACGCAAAAGGGGTATCAATGTTATTCTCCTGACCTCCAGCGGTACCTTATGTCTGTTGATGTTACCTTCTTTGAAACCCAATCATACTTCACAGGTCCATGTAATCAATTAGATATTTATGAGGTGCTACCGATTTTATCTTTTGGAGATTCAGTCACTATCTCCTATTTATCTTCCTCTACAACTCCAGCTCCACCACCTACAACTCCAGTTGCAGCTCCACCACCTATAGCTCCACTTCCACCACTAATCTAGTCCAACCTTCTGCAGCTCTTCACTCTTGACTTATCATCGTCGTCCATGTCCAGCATCAGGCCCAGGTGATTCACGTCCTGCATCAAATTCTGTGCCTACTGCGGACTTGTCTCCTCTTAGTCAACCAATTGTACTCCACAAAAGTGTACGATCCACACTTAATCCTAATCCCCATTATGTCGGTTTAAGTTATCATTGTCTGTCATCACCTCATTATGCGTTTATATCATCTTTGTCCATTATTTATATCCCTAAGTCTACAAGTGAGGCACTATCTCATCCAGGATGGCTATAGGCTATGATTGACGAGATATCTGCTTTACATGCGAGTGGCACTTGGGAGCTTGTTCCTCTTCCTTCAGGTAAGCCTATTGTTGGTTGTCGTTGGGTTTATGCAGTCAAAGCCGGCCCGGATGGCCAGGTTGATCGACTTAAGGCTCGTCTTGTTGCAAAAGAATACACTCAGATTCTTGGACTTTATTATAGTGATACTTTCTCTCTTGTGGATAAAGTAGCATTTGTTCATCTCTTTTTGTGTGTAGTTGTTGTACGTCATTGGCCTCTTTATCAGTTAGACATTAAGAATGTTTTTCTCCACAGTGATCTTGAGGAAGAAGTTTATATGGAGCAACCATCTAGTTTTGTTGTTCATGGGGAGTCTAGTGGTCTTGTATGCCGATTGCGCAGGTCACTATATGGTTTGAAATAGTTCTCTCGAGCTTGGTTTGGTAAGTTCAACACAATTATTCAGGAGTTTGGCATGACTCGTAGTGAAGCTGGTCACTTTGTGCTTTATCGGCATTCTCCTCCTAATTTATGTATTTATCTAGTGGTTTATACTGATGATATTGTTATTACTGGCAATGATCGGGATGATATTAATAATCTGAAGCAACACCTCTTTCAACACTTCCAGACAAAGGATCTGGGCAGATTGAAGTATTTTCTAGGTATTGAGGTCGCCCAATCTCGCTCATGTATTGTTATTTCACAGCAAAAGTATGCCTTAGACATTCTTGAGGAGACTGGAATGGTGGGCTACAGACCTGTTGACACTCCTATGGATCCGAATGCTAAGCTTCTGCCAGAACAAGGGGAACTTCTTAGAGATCCTACGAGATATATGAGGTTGGCTGGTAAATTGAATTACCTCACAGTGACTAGGCCTGATATTTCTTTTACGGTGAGTATTGTAAGTCAGTTTATGGATTCTCCTTGGTAGTCACTGAGATGCAATTGTTCGCATTCTTTGGTATATAAAGTCAGCTCCAAGCAAAGGATTACTATTCGAGGATCGAGGCGACGAGTAGGTTGTTGGATACACAGATGCTGATTGGGCAGGATCACCTTCTGATAGACGTTCTACGTCTGGATATTGTGTTCTAGTAGGAGGTAATTTGGTCTCTTGGAAGAGCAAAAAATGAAATATAGTTGCTCGATCTAGCGCCGAAACAGAATATCGGGTTACTGCTATGGCAACGTGTGAGCTAGTTTGGGTCAATCTCACATCCCAAAATCTCATATGTCGTGATGACGCCTATCTCAATACTAGGCAAGCCGACAATCTCAATAAACCACCATATATTTTTAGTTTAAAAACATAATATTTAAATTCAGCGGAAGAAATCTCACAACTACATATATAAACACTCCCAAAACCCAGTGTCACTGAGTACATGAACATCTAAAATGAATACAAAGTCTGATTGACAAAACACTGTCTGAAAGTATAGACTAGTACAATAACTGAAAGAAAGGGAGTCAAGGTGAGCGGACTCCACACAACTACCTTGATAGTCGCCAACTGATAACACTTTGAGATCTAACGGTCGCCGTATCTGAAATCACATGGATCTTCACACGAGGTGCATAGTGTAGTATGAGTACAACTAACTCAATAAGTAACATGACTAACCTTTGAGCTGAAAGTAGTGACAAGCTCCGCAGGTACATTCCAGTATAAATAATAACAATACAGAAATGTAGGCATGCTTTCAAGTTCAACAGTTGCTTTTAGTACAAATAAAACCGATCAATTCTGAACAATACGAGGAATATGACATCTCTGTATCTACATGCCAATGTACATACTGTATGTGATGCACCTTAGTGAAAACTCTGTGTACTCACAATCTAAAATACTCAATCACTCAGTACTGTATATGACTAATCCAGCCTAGGGAAGATCCATCCCAAATATATATATGTATATCCATCAACTAATAGTCAGTCAATCAGTACTGTATAAGGCCAATCCAGCCCAGGAAGGTCCATCCCAAATATATATGTATATCCATCAACTGACAGTCAGTCACTCAGTATTGTATTAGGCCAATCCAGCCCAGGGAAGATCCATCCCAAATATGTATGTATATCCATCAACTGATAGTCAGTCACTCAGTACTGTATAAGACCAATCCAACCCAGGGGAAGATCCATCCCCAAATATCAATGATTCGGACAAAATCCATGTTCAGGGAAAATCCATCCCTCAATATAAATGCTTTGGGAAAGATCCATGCCCAGGGAAGATCCATCCCTCAATATAAATGCTTCGGGTAAGATCCTTGCCCAGGGAAGATCCATCCCTCAATATATATCAAGCGCGCTCACTAGTGGTGTGTGCAGACTACGGATGGGCTCCTTCAGCCCAAGCGCTATAAATAAACCGCGTTCACTGGGGGTGTATGCAGACTCTAGAGGGGCTCCTTCAACCCAAGCGCTATATAAAGCCAAGCGGAAGAAATGTAGGTATGCGTTCAAGTTCAACAGTTGCTTTCAGTACAAATTAAACAGATCAATTCTGAACAATACGAGGAATATAACATCTTTGTATCTACATGCCAATATACATAATGTATGTGATGCACCTTAGTGAAAACTCTGTGTACTCATAATCTAAAATACTCAATCACTCATTACTGTATATGGCCAATCCAGCCCACGGAAGATCCATCCCAAATATATATATATATATATATATATATATATATATATGTATATCCATCA